TTTTGGTTTTGGTCTGGTTTTTACAGCACTCTTGTGGAGACGCTGCAGTCAATGGACTTGTCAACTTTGAAACCTTTTCCTTCTGGACAACCAGAAAAGTTTGCTTTGTTCTTGGATAAAGTTGTTGGATTTCAATAAACAATGCAGAGGAATAAAAATGTCAGAATAAAACCTTTCTCCTCTCCTATTGAGGCCTTCCACACTTCCACCAACTGGGACAAACCCTCTAATAAAATATCTATTAATATTAACTGACGTTAAATGGTTTCCTATTTAGTGCCAGTATAATGTCATCTACCTTTATGCTTAAAAGAACACAGTGCCAACAAGGCGGGGATGTGTGTGGGGAGTTTGAACTATCTAGTTTCTTGACAGACAGATACTTACATCACAAAATCTGCCCCGAGTTGATAATTCCAGTGAGGAGGACAAGCTAAATTACTTCTTAAACAGGCATGGCATATACATAGTGGTCTCTTGACCTTATTTGCCTAGTACGAGTGGAAGTAAGTTGGCCTTGTTGATGTTCCTGTGATGTTCTGCAAGTAAGCAGATGCCTTCAGCTCTCCTTTCATGTGTTTACAGAAGCACTGGAAAGAGAATTTTAAAAGTGAGAGATTTAGGCCTTTTTAAAGAGGGAAGAGTCAAGAGCTGTAAACCTGCTGCTAAACTGTCCACTAACTCACTTGGGTTTGGGTGATTTGCTGCCAAAGTAAAACACGCCCTATAGGAGAGGAATGGGCAATACAATGAATCCGTTTACACGGCTATCCCATCATTACTTAGTCTGGACTTGTGTGAAGTGCAGTGTTTCCTATTTGATGCTGATTGGAGCTCCCCCTTTTAAAGTGTTGACATTTTCAATTGTGTTGATGCTACCATCAATTTAAGTAAATATTTGGAAAAACAAAGGGCATTTAAATGTAAAAATGTTCATGCAGGCTACTTGGTCTGTAATACTCTAGAATAAGAATAGTTGGTGCTAATTGCCCTTCCTGCAAGTACATGATTTGTTGGGGGTTTTCTTGTTGCTGTTGCTTAAAACAAGAAACTCCTGAATTGGTGCATCTGATGTCCCAGTGCAATTCTTGTTAAATGTACATAGAGGAGTTCTCCAAATCAAGCACAAGGCCTACACGTGGAATAAACCATGCTGCGCAGCTGGGCAAGAGTGATTTTTGCCGATCCCCAGAGTTCTCCCCAAGTATTTTATTAGGAGCAACTAAGATTTTCACTTCCTTAACCATTTTTACAGAGCTGTTATTTCAAGTTTACCGCTAGCAGCTTACCTCCAGCCCGAGAGCACGCAGGAATGTCGCAGGGAATTCTGAATAACTATTTGACTGAGTTTTCCACGAGTTACTCGCACTCATAGGCACATCGAGCAATGAAGTCGGAAGGAGCTGGCTTAGCAAGGGCTTCCCCCTCCTCCCCAGGCAGGGCCGGCAGGAGACGGCGGTTTACCGCGGTTTGCCGCACGATACCCACTCCGAGA